ACCTAAATAGACGTGTAAATCATATAAATACGCAAAAACTGAGTTTTTTCATCTGGTTGCTCGCAGATGCTCGGGGGTGAAATTGAATCCCATGCTGAGTGTTTGCTCTGGAAATAACGCGTGTGAGGTTGTTTGCCGGAATAAATTAGTTTTTCTCCCGATGCTGTGCCTATAGTGATGGGCTGACCCCCATGGGGGTGGGGGGTCCACCCAGGCATCAGGGCCTGTCCCACCCCCAGAGGGGGCCATCTGCAAATGGAGAAACTGGGGACAGCAGGAAGTCAGCCATGGGACAGAAGAGCTCAGAGCTGGCCCGCAGCACCCACCCCCACCCCACCTCCTCCTCAGCAGCCTCTCTATCCTCTGTCTTCTCCGTCACCTTCTGCCTCCACCCAGAAAAGGGTGTTGAGGCCCTGACCATGACCTCCCACCTACTTACTGTGTACCTTGGGCTGGTTGCTTAACCTCTCTGACCCTCAGTCTCCCACTCTGTACACTGGGGAATAAGTGCAGTTTGGCCAGGAGGAATCTCTGTAAATTGGGTCAGGCCCTTGGCTAAGGCTCAATGAATGGCCAGAAACCATGTGAAGATTGCGACTTCTTGGGGTAAATGGCATTGCCCTCATTCTCCAGCTCAGGAGCTAGGGACCAGGGTAGATAGAGAAGAGTTGGCCAGTACCTGGCTGGAGCTGGGGAAGAGGAAACAAGAGATATGGGTCACAGGAGGCTTCTGGGGAGGAGGACACCTCCACCTGGAAGCCTACCCTGACTGGCCCACCATCAGAGATGTTTCCCTCTGCGTTTCCTCGAGGGCAGACGCTGTGCCTCCTTTGTTCTTTCCCGAGTGCCCACATGGGCGAACACTGAGCCATGGGTCCAGGTTTCAGTCCCACCTTCAGCCTGAGCGCGTGGTGTGGCGTGGGTGCTCCTGGGCCTCTCTGGGCCCCAGGTTTCCTGTCAGTGTGGCTGGGAAGTGGCCATCTGCACAGCTGCTGCTGAGCGGGTCCTCCGGCTCTTACAGAGGCTGTTTAAAAATAACTGCATCTTCCTGCCTGTCACTCTCCCTGTCAGCCGTCACCCCTGGCTCAGCGTCTCCCACCTCTTAGCCCCTTGCCCTTGCTTATGTCTGCCTTCATTCATTCTTGGCCTTGAACTGAACCTTCATGAGATACCCAGTCTGCCAGAAGCAAGTGGTCCCCCCCACTTTTCTAATGCAGTTTTACTTGTGGTTGGAAGGGGGTCTCTGCGAGGTACTAACTGCTCTTTAACGCCTTCTTGATCCTCTTCTGGCCCCGGGAGGATTTGGGCAGGAACAGGGACCTGGAAATAGGTCATCCGAGCAGACAGGGGTTGAACATCACCAGGGCTACCACGGACAGTTGCACGGGTTGGAGACTGCAGGGGGGCACTAGGCGAGCTGGAGCTCACATCCAGCCGTGTTCCCCTCACGGGCCCAGCACCTGCCATCCACACACAGGGGGCGCCTCAAACGGCTTTCCCTTGACCCAGAAGGTGGATTGTCTTAGTGACCATTGCCATTTCCCAGCCACCCCACCTTTCCGGGGTCTTCACCAGCCCCCAGCAAGCCCAGAGTGGTGGGTTCTGTCCCCAGCCATGCAGAACAGTCGCCTTTATCAGGAGCCAGGACTGTCTGGCAAAGCGTGATACCCAGGAGATGGAGCGGCTGCCGTGGGGAACACCAGCCATGCTGTTATCTGGGAGGCTGGGCCTGCCAGCCGTGGGGCTCCGATTAGGAAGCACGGTCGTTTGCCTGTGGGTGCATGCGTGGGCAGGTAGGGGGCAAGCCAGAGCCAGGGCTCCGGGAAGGGGACCATGAGCCCCCAAAGGTATGACACGCAGGGCAGACTGGGATGCCGGGGGCTGCCCCACTCTTTCTGTTGCTCGTGGGGTCACCTGGGCCAGCTGCCTCCCTCCACCTCCATGCCCCTGAGGCCCAGCCCACACATGGAAAGACTGAGTTGAATTCCGAGCTCCTCCTCCCACAGGAAGGTGGGCACCAGCCTGAGATGGAAAGTGTTGTCTCCTCGTAGGGACTCCATGACCGACAAGGCCAGGAATGACTCCTACACAAACATTCTGCACACGGAAAAGAAAATATGTGAAGACGGAGGGCGCCACGGCCACTGTGCCTGCCCTGTCTGTGGCCCCAGCAGCAGAACTAGTGCCCAGAGGAGCAAATGGGCAACCCAGTTAAGAGGCCCAAGTGCAGGCCAACCCGTGTGACTTAGTGAGTTTCTCATTGTCGAGGTAGGGTGAGCCATTGCGTTAGGATTCTGGATGCTTCCCCCTTGATCCTACTGCCCTGAGTGGGCAATCCACAGGCTCAGTCCTTGGTGGGCTCCCTGCCAGCCTCAGCAGCAGCACATGGGCCCATCAGGTGGCTGGACAGACAAACACATGGACAGACAAATGAGTGCCCGGCGAGCTCATCTCTAGATAGCCTCTTCATCGCCCGTCTCTCGCTCACACACACCTACCCCTGAGGGATGGCCAGGTGGAGGACCACAGACCCAAATACACCTAGGACACAAGGGGCCAGGACCCTCGGTCAGCATCCGGAGCCAGGTGGCCTAGGGTCAGGTCCTGGCATCCCACAGCCAGCTGTGTGTCCAGTCAGGGCCTCGGTTTCTTCATCCGTACAGGGGGGCTTAAGGAGGCCAGCTTCATAGGGCCGCCTGGGCAGAATTGGGTGACCGCATGTGGCTGGGCCACACTCCTGCCCCTTGGCACCAATTTCTGAGGGCCTGAGAAGGGTGTGGCCCATGGGCTGGGACCCAGGCATCCTCGGGGGCTGGCAGAGGACTCAGACCCTTGTGGGCAGGCCACAGAGCAACAGAGCTGGCCACTGCCCCCCTCTCTGCGGGGCTGATAAAGGGGCGCCGGCCTCCTCGGCCTCGCCCTGGTCTCCTGCCATCTTATCTGCCCTGGGGAAGACAAGGACCCAGTTAGAACGTTTTAGCTGGGCCTCCTGGCATATTTACACGTTATCTCTGCCATTAGGCCGGCAGTTATCTGATAATCGGGCCCATTAAGGCCACAGCCTGCCCAATCGGGGCTCCAGGAAGTGGGGCCGCCACAGAAGCGCTTGCTCAGGGACCTGGCCAGGCCACATGAGGCCTCCGTGGGCCCAGGCGGCCTGGGTGGCACCTGAGGCATAAGGTGGCCTGGCCTTCCTGAGCAGAGGTTGCGTGGCCTAGGGAGGTGCTGCCATCTGAGGACAGAGCTGCCACTCTCCCCTCATCCAAAGACAATGCTGAGGTGGGGGAGGAGAGGTAAGATGCAGGTGTGATTCCTCCAGGGCAGCCCTGACAAATGTGTATGACCTCGATGCCTTAGAACAACAGAAACGCATCCTCTCAGTGTTCTGGAGCCATAAGTCCCAAATTCAGGTGTCCACAGGGCTGCGCTCCCTCCGGAGGTTCCAGGGGAGGGCCGCTCCCACCTCTCCCAACTCTGGGGGCCCCAGGTGCAGCTTCCTCCTGGCCGCACCACTGCACCTCTGCCTCTGTCTTCACACAGCCTTTTCCTGGGGTCTCTCCTCTCTGCGTCTCTTCTTACAAGAACCTTGGTCATTGGGCTTAGGGCCCACTGGGTGACCCACGATGGTCTCACCTGGAGACCCTAACTTGATAACATCAGCAAGGACCCTTTTTCCAAATAAGGGCATAGTCCTAGGTTCTGGGTAGACATATGTCTTGGGGGCCACCCTTCAGCCCAGCACACAAGGTCATGTGGATCGTGTAGCATGCTTTGGCTGAACCCGGGAGCCTGACTGTAGACCCTGCCCAAGCCCAAGGCCCTGCCTGTGAGGGTGACCGTCACTGGGGCTCACCGCTGAGGCCCGTCTGTGTAAGCAGAGCAGAATGCTGGCTCTGCAGCGGATGCCACTATTCCAGCCATGCCACCGAGTCATGGCCAAGGCCGCATAAGCTGGCAGAACCCATGGCACAGGGAGTCTCAGCCCCCTGGTGCCTTCTACCCTCAGCTAGGAGACAGGCCCTTACAGGGTCCATGGCTGGCCCAAGACCTGAGGGAGAGTCAGGGTCCAGTCCTTCCAGAGACGGAGCAGAGGTCCTGAAGGCCATGTGGGGTCAACAGCATCCTGGGGTCCCCAATGATCTTTGGAGAGTAAATGGAGTTGAGCTCCAACAACCCAGGTGGAGATTCTGGCCTTGCTGAGGGCCTTGTGAGGAGGGCTCGCTCTGCACCTTAGCTGCCCCTCCGAGCACTGTGCTAAGCATGCTGGGTGGGGAGCTCATTCAATCCTCGCACCACCCAGGGAAGTAGGAAGTATCGGGGATCCAGTGTAGAAAGCAAGGCTTATATAGGTGTAGAAAGCAAGGCTCAGCATTTCCACAGCTGCCTTCACAGGCCTGCTGTGCAGATTCAGGGACTCGCCCCTGGGAAGGGGCTGGGAGGACGGTGCCGAGGGATGGGGATGGGTCTCGTCAACATCTTCGTCCTCTGCTCCACCCATCCCAGCACAGGCAGCAGGGGTGACCTGGCTCCATGCATGCATCCTGGGCACAAGCAACTTTGCCAGTGCTACTCTGGGCTGCGTAAGGGTCACAGATGTCCCTGACATGGCAGCTGTGGTCCCTGGGCCATGTGTGTTACTGGCACAGTGGCCAGGGTTCCCAGACCACACATGTCCCTGATAGCGCAGCTATGGGCCCCAAGCTATGCACCTGCCTGCTCAAATCCAGCTGCAGGCACCCCTCAGTGTCCTATCTCTGCAGCCCTTGGTCTTTGGGAAAGACCCGCCGGAGGGTCTGGCCTGGCCCCCAGAGCTGGGCACCAGCTACCACCCCTGTACCTCAGGCCCAGGCCCACAGGGCAGCACTGCCTCCGTGGCCCTGCAGCCGCCTGACTGCTCCTGGGGGTGGGGGCTGCAGAGGTAGGCTAGACCTGCGCAGGCAGCAGGGCTGGGTGGTCACCATGGTGGACGCTCCTCACACCCCTGATGTCTCTCCCCGCAGACGAGCTGGAGGAAGTCCTGCAGGATGGGCAGAGGTGTGTGCGGGCCCGACGCAGCCTTGCTGAGGGCCTGTCCTGGGGCCCATTCCAAGGAAGCATCCAGAGCAGAGCTTCATCCCCCAGGCAGGCAGAACCGGTAAGGAGCCCCAACCACCGCTAGCCCACCCACCGGTTGCAGGGTTGTGGCCAGGGCAGCCTCCCACCCAGGGCACAGGCCCCTTTGACCCTCCCAAGCCAGGTCGGGGGTAGACTCCAGCTCAGGAGCCCCCACCACTACATGTGAAACACATAAGAAGATGTGGGTATTGGGGCCAGGTGGGGACTGGGGCAGGGAGGGTTAACTGCCTGGGAGCACAAGGAGGGTTTCCTGGAGGAGGTGATGCAAGGCTTGTGGGACCTTGGGTGACACAGGGAGGACTTCCTGAGTAGGGCTTTTTTAAAGATTTTATTGATTTGTTTTTTTAAAGAGAGAGAAAGGGAGGGAGAAAGAAAGGGAGAGAAACATCAATCAGTTGCCTCTCATACATACCCAACCAAGGACCAAACCTGCAGCGCAGGCATGTGCCCTGGCCAGGAATCGAACCAGTGACCTTTTGCTTTGCGATACAATGCCCAACCAACTCAGGACTGGAGGAGGGTGTTTTAAGCAGGCCCTTAACAGAGGAGTAGATGTTGGCGAGGCAGAGAAGAAGAGCTTTCGAGGGGAGGAAGCAACAGGGAGCCCAAGTGTGGGGCTGGACCCTGTGTGCATCTGAGGAGGACGTCAGGAACGCCCCACCCCCCAGCACTTTATGGACAGGGCCCCCGGTGGGAAACTAGGTGGGCTTCTGGGCACTTAGGGACAGCTGCAGCAGAGGGGGAGAGATCCGTTCTGACTTTGTCCCTGTGGGTCCTTCTGAGGACCAGGAGAGGGCACGTGTGTGAGCAGCGCCTCTTCGGCACGTGCTCCTCTCCCTCTCCGACTAAGAAGCCCCACCTGGGCGGCAACACCTCCAGGTCATCGTTGTCTTGGTGTTACTTCTAAACTACCCCCTCCTATGTATGGCAGGTCGGTCTGGCATCCTCTTGCAGGGAGTACAAAGTCTCTTTATAAAATACATTTCAATTAAGAAAGGGCATCAATTATGAGTAAGTATGGGACAGCAGGTGGGCAGCATATAGTATCACGGTAACTGGGAGGGGCCTGTGAATGATGAGTGTTCAGGAAACACCGCCGTGTCCTGATGGCCCTTGCCTGGGAGGCCAGGTGGTACGTCAGACTGGTCCTCTCAAGCCCAGGCTCAGGTGCTGCAACTGTGCAGCCATAGCAATGGCCTAGGTCCTTTTTGATTCCCGATGTGGCATTCAAGTATGGCTTGATCCAAGGTACATACTAGCAGGTGGGTGCCCTGCAGTGCTGGGTCTCCTGGTCCTAAGACCCCAGGTGTCAGCCTCCAATCAGCCTGCATGTAATCATCAAGCAGTGGTGGGTTTGTTGAGTGGGTTTCTCCCCTACCCCCACCCCCTCCAGCACCTAGAGGTTAAATGCTGCCCTGCAAGCTCTAACCACCTCCAACCTGGCAGTTAGAGCCCCCATTTCTCAGCTGTGGGAACCAGGGCCCCAGGAACTCAGCCTGCAGTAGTGTGGAGGGCCAGTAGGGCTACAGGCAGAATCCCCAGCTGCAGACCCTTGGACCAGCATTTATAGCCCTACCCACTGCTGTGGACCATAAAACCTGGGCTGTGGGTCACACAGCCCAGAATCTCTGCGTCAGAATCTCTGGGCTTGTGTCTGGGCCTCAGGAGATTGGAGAAGCTCCCAGGGTCCAAATATGCAAGCCTGCTGAGGCCCCCCTGGGCTGCCCACAATGGCGGTCACAGCTGAGTAGCCAGGCACAGAGAGGCAGGCACTTGCCCAGGTCACCCAATGAGTCAGTGGGAGGCTGGCACAGGACCAAGGGCACCCACCTTTGTGGCACAGGGTCCGGATCCCAGGGCCTCCTACCTCATAGCTGTTCTGCTGTGTGCTCCCAGACAGGCCTCTAACCTCTCTGAGCTTCTGTTTCCTCATAGTTTGGGACCTTGGAGGGGGGCATAGGAAGCCCTGAAGGGTCAGTCCTTGAGGACTGAGCCTGCAGAATCCCAGCCTCTGCTCAGAGGAGCTGCAGCTTGTCTGCGAAGTGGAGAAGCCAGCAGCATGCCTGCCTCCCAGGGCAGCTGGGCAGGGCCAAAGAGAGATGACCCATGAGTCGTGCTTACCACAGGGCAGGGCTCGGCAGGCGCTGGGGCCAGCAGGCCTGCAGCTGGGATGATCTTCTTGTCCTGTGGCCCCAAGCTGGGAGGAAATAGTGGAAGCTCCAGGATGGGTTTTGGCTTTGTGGAAGGAGCCTGATTTTGGCTCCACTGTGGGATGGAGACTGTGTTGTGTTAGAGCAGTCTCTGGAGGCAGTGAGCTTCCTGTCACTGGAGGCATTCAAGTAGCAGTTGACTCTTCCAAGGGTAGGCTGTCAGGAGGCAGTTAGAAGGAGGAATGGATGGGCTGAGAGCTCTGGAGCCCTGGTCTCCGAACTCTCCAAGTGTCAAGAAAACCTGTGAGCAGTGACAGGACGAAGGCAGGGTGGCTGAGGGGTGGGGTCTGCATGTCTCTCCTCTGCTCCCTCCTGGGGATAATCGGCCCCTTCCAAGATGTACACGTGTGTGCTCATGCTTACACACGGCCCCTCATTCCCTCATCCCTCCCACCCTACGAGGCAGAAACTGCCGCCCCGTCCTACGGACGAGGAAACTGAGGTTAAGTGACTTTGCAAAGCCATCCAGATCAAGTAGCAGAGGGAGAATTGTCTGCCCAGCCCCAAAGACTCCTGAAGGCTCCCTAAGGACAGGGCTGAGGGACCGGAGACACCGGCACCAGCCCAGCCCCCCCCCCACACCCACCCCCTCCCCCTGCCATGGGGGTTTGTCCTCCTCGGGCCTGGGGCACAGGTCAGCCTGGGGAGACTTGGCACGAGGCTGGAAACGCTCTCCAGGCGGAGAGATAATGCCGAGGGGAGCGAGGGAGCGAGCACCGGAGGAGCCAACAACCTTTGAGGCTCTTGCGGAGGAGCCTGGGGAGGAAGGAGCCTCGCCTGCTCTTCCCTGCAGCTTTATCTCCTGCAGAATTAAATCCTTGATTAACCCTTATCTCCCCAGCAGGCGCTATCTCTGCCTTGGCGCCGAGTGTCCAGACGCACCGTACAAGATGATTGATTTCTTAAAGATACGCACACTTTTCTGATACTTCATTTATTGTCTAAATATTTTTGCTAAGATTTCAGCGGGCCTCTTATCGAGCTCAGCTGATGGGTCCCAGTTCTCTCCCGCAAGCACCTCCTGCCCCAGATCGTCCTATCAGCCGCCAGGCGGCTTTCGCTCTTTGCGAAGGAGGAGGGGGCAGGAGTAGGGGCACCCAATGGGGTGTGGTGACCCGTTCCTGCTGGTGGTAGGGGGAGCTTCTTGCAGGCTGAGGAAAGGACAGGGTGGCTGGACGCTGAGGGTGGGAGCTTCAGGAAGGACACAGAGGGCACAGAGCCCAGCGGTGGTTGAGAGATGGATCTGGCCCCAACCTGCTGTGTTAACTCGGGGGGGTCCCTCCCTGATCCAGTAGCAGCTTCCACTGTTGGAAACAGGGCTTGGAGGCCCAGCCACAAAAAAGGTGTTCAGGGTGGATTGTGGATGGAGGATGGATGGATAGATGGATGGATAGATGGATGGGTGGATGAGTAGATGGACAAATGGGTTGATGAATGGATGGATGGATGGATGGATGGATGGACAGATGGACAAACAAAGGAACAAGCTTTCACCCTCAGCTTGGCCCACACTGGCTTGGCCCGTCTTTCTGTCCATTTGTACGCCCAGGACTCACCCACTTTAGCCCTAAAGTCATTGTGACATCAGTGAGATTGGTAGGGACCCCGTGGCTGCCAAGCAGGGCAACAGGTTAAGTGGGGAAAGGCCCTGCCTAAGAGATTGAAACAAAACCCCCTGGGATCTGACCTCCCATGTGGCCCCAGGTGAGTCTTTGTCCAGCAATCAGTGTAGAGGGTCAGCCTCCCTGGTCCTTCACCTGGAGATGGAGGCAGGGCTGCTCTCCGTGCAGGAAGCCTTGAAGGCTGGCATCGGGGGTCACTGCCACAGCAGAGACAAACCTCACAGTAGGGCCAGCACTGGCCAGGAGCCTTTTGGGGGGCGAGAGGAACTGAGGCGGGATGCCCAGGTACACTCCCAATGATGCCTCTCTTTCCTTCTTTGATTCTCATTTACATTTGTTTGTAATAGAGAAGAGTACTCCCACCCCGCCCGTCACTGCACTGCTTTCCCCGGGACTTCTGGGACTCCCAGCCCAGGTGTGGGGTGCTGCGAGTTCTTCACCCAAGTGGGGGTGCACTGCAAGCCGCCCTGCATCTTGCTTTGCTCACCTACTGACACGTTTCTGAGTATTTCAGGGCAGCCTCTTCCCCACAGCGCCAGGTGCCACTGGCTGCAGCTGTCCAGCCTCCACGTTCCTACCTGGAAAGTGAGAGTGACACGGGACATGTTGTGGAGTCACGCCAACAGCACATGGTTGCTACCCACTATGGTCCGGGCTCAGCCCGGCAGCACTGGAGCCGGCCTGCCGGCTGTGCCTCCCCACGCCCCTGCCCAGCACTGCCTCCTTCCTTAACAGCCCCGTGGGCCGTCCTTGCCCCTGGTGCTCCCAGGGGCCTCTTCCAACCATCCCGACCTGACGTCCTCTGTCCAGCGGACCCAGCAGCCCCGTGGGACCTCGCAGGAAGCGCCCTGAGGCTCTGCTCCCCTCCCCCTTCCGCATCAGTGTCGGGCAGCCTGGCCTGGACCCTGGGGTACCAACAGGTCACCAGGACCATGGTGGTTGTTCCCCAGTAGGCCCTGGGCTAGAGATTCGCCCTGATGCTGTTGACTCACCTTGGTCTTGAGGCAGCTGTTCCATCTAACCCTATGGTACAGATGGGGACATTAAGGCTCAGAGAGGATGCCAGAATATAGGTTTCCTCTGGCTGCTGTAACAAAGTGCTGCAACCTGGTGTCTGAAGCAGAATTCCTTCCCTCCCAGTTCAGAGGCCAGGTGTGCGCAGGGCTGGTTTCTCCTGGGGTCTCCGA